ATTCTGGTTAGTTGCCATAGGGTATTGGGGATGGGATAGGTTTTGCTTCGTTCAAGCTTTGAAGTGTGTTCCAGGGTTTGGGATGTCGGGAAACCCCAAGCAGCCCTGAACCTAACTAGTCTGCTATTATTAATTTGTTTTTGGGGTATAGGGGTGAGGATGCTAGTGTCAGGAGAGTGTGGCTATGCTGCGCAACGTGTCTGCTTTTAGCATCGGGTTCTTTTATTTCGGAGCCTACACCATTTAATCCCATCCATATATACATATACAGACCCACTTATAACCGGTACCCAAATTGCACCGGCCGAGGGAGTGCTATGACTGGAAAGTGAATGGCCACGACTTTTGCAGTTTTGAGGGCTTTTTACAGGCCGTGGTTCTGGTCTTGCGCATGAAACCAGGAGCATTGCTCCACATCGGACTACCTTGTTCCAATTTTATTTGGATGTCGAGCAGTGTGCACATGCGTTCGAAAGAAGCACCACTTGGTGATATGTCAAAACCATCGGTTGTACGATCAAACTGCATCTTTGAGCGTACTATCCTCTTGATATATCTGGCCTTGGCACGAAGAGTCTGGTTTTTTCTGGAACAGCCACGCTCTAGTGTCATTCCCTATATGCCGGCCATGCAAGAACTCTTGAGCCTCTGTGGTAGAGCGTACCACTGCACATGGTGGATGGGGTCTTTTGGCCATTGGGCCATCAAGCCATCACTGGCCCTGGGAAATACCCCCTGGATGCCACAACTCCAGCTGATTGGCAACAGGTAGTCGGGGACCTAAAATTAGACTGATCTCATCTAGAGGAGCGAGTAGCCTAATCCCAAGAGGCTCATATACTTATATTAGCCATGAACTTGGAAGGCTTCCAATCCCAAATGTTTGCTTATGCATTATAAAGTAATCTAGGAACCTGATTAAGAATCCTTTTGGGGTTCCTTAATTTAAATCCCACACAAATTTGGGGTTATAGGCCCGGGCATTTCTTAATTAGGTTCCTACATATAATATGAGAGAACTCATACTCCTATATTACAGTAATACACAATATTCCCCTACATATATATATATATATATACCCAGCAATATATAATTTATAGGGGGTTGCTGTGGGCTTTAGATATTAAATCCCCCTGCCAGGACCAACAAGGCCATGCGGCAAGCCCTCGCCAATGTCTGTCGCCTGCGTGGCTTGGTGAAAGTCACCCGCAAGAAAAAGCGGGATGGCTCTGTGGCTGTGAAACCCGTCTGGGGTCAGTCTGAGCTTTTGCAGTGTCTGGAAATCTAGGTTCTAGGCTATTCTAAGGCTAGGGTTCAGATAATTTAATATCAGCTGCCACCAACCCTTGCAGTGCGTGGATACTGATGGGCCTTTAGTGGTTTCTTGCAGGGAGCTGCTAATGTACAGTTTGATGCTCAGGACTGGGTCCAAGGATCTGGTGAAAACAGGAGAGTATCCGAGAAGCTTTGCTGACTTCATGGCGACATCTCATGACCAGGTTGCTCCGTTGGATAAAAGCTCAAAGTTATGTAGACCTTTGGCTGTAGCTACAGGCTGGGGGTTCTGGTTTGAGGTTCTAGGCTTTGTTTATAATAACCAAGGACTTAGAGGGTAGGGCTTCAGAGATTTGTTTCTTTATAATAAGGGTTTCAGAGTTTTGCTTCTCTAGGGC